GTGGGGTGCTGATGACCCCCGACCGGTAGGTGCCGACCACGGCGGGTCGGCAGCCGACCAGTCAAGGGCCGCCAACCGTCGGTGGGTCCAACACTGCCTACCCCTATTTTTTGCTGTGCGGGGAGCCACGGTGCACTGTGCGGTGCGCGGCGCTACGTGCGCAAATCGTGCGCAAACCGGCACACCGCCGTGCGCCGCAACTATGGTGAGCATGGTATAAAGAGCCCAAACCTAAGCATCACGCCCCAATGATGCTAGGTTCATGCTATAAAGAGCCCTAGTCTAACCTGGCCACTTTTACCGGCAGGTTTTTGCTTTCCAGGCATGAACATAGCACCAGGGCGACTGGCCCTGAGATTGTCTCGAGTAACTGTATTGGGGATTTGGGGTGGTGGGTTGAAAAGGATAGGTGGCTCTTTTTTGTTCCGACGGGGTTGAAAGTTTAAGGGGGTCACAACATTTCAAGGGCGTAATGTTATCATTATCCTCCCCTCTTCTAATACATATGGACTGCCAGGGGCAAGTCGTCTAATGCTGGGTGCCGTGGTGTTCCATCAATTTCTGTGCATGTCCGTTCCATCGTGTTCATCGACGCACACGGATGGCACTCCATGGTTGTTTCCATCGTTTTCGAAGCACTGGTTTGTGGATGTGTGATGAGGTTGTCAAAGCGAATCTTGGAAAGTCGTCTAATGCTGCATGCCATGGTGTTCCTTCAATTTCTGTGCGCATCCGTTTCCATCGTGTTTATCGACGCACACGGATGCACTCCTTGGTTGTTTTCATTGTTTTCAAAGCACTGGTTTGTGGATGCGTGACGAGGTCGTCAAAGCGAATCTTGCCAAGTCGTCTAATGCTGCATGCCATAGTGTTCCTTTAATTTCTGTGCGTGTCCGTTTCCATATTGTTTATCGACGCACACGGATGCATTCCTTGGTTGTTTCCATTGTTTTCCAAGCACTGGTTTGTAGATGCGTGACGAGGTCGTCAAAGCGAATCATGATGCCTCCTTTTGTCTATTTGGCAATTTGGAGTGTGAAACAGAAACCATGTCCTATACAGTAATCGATCAGCGGCATATGCTGGCAAAGGCGACTTCCAAGCAGCTCTTGAAGACGGGAAAAAGGTGACGTCTTTGCTCCTCTTTCGGTTCAGTGCTGGTTTTGTAGACCCCTTCCTCATGATGGCCTCATCTCTACAGTGCTTTACCATCATAATCAGGATGTCAGCCAGCAAACCAATGCATATGCTGATTGTTATTATTATGATCATAACAGGAAAAAGGCTTATAAGATAGTAATACGATATACAATATTATACATATATAACCATTTGTCCATTTCCTTCTGCTTTTATTTTATTATTATTATTTTTTTTTAATTAATTAATTATTATTATTATTTTATTTTATTTTTGTTTTTGGGGGGGGGAGAGTTTTATGCATGTCACCCTTGTGCAGGGTCCATGCTAATCTTCTCTGTTTCATTCGAATGCCGACGAATGTCCCAAAGGAGCCCTCCCTTTTCTTTTTCTTTTTCTTTTTTATTATTAATGATGTGTGTCATCCTTCTCAGAGGCTATGCTGATCTTCTCTGTATCGTTCCAATTTTAACGGATGTCCCAAAGGACAGGACCCCTCCCTTTTCTTCTGCATCTAGTGGGCAAAATAATAATAATAATAATAAATAAACTCCAGTTCTTATGGATGGTAAGCATCGATTGCTCCCAGCCCATATGGCTGAAGGGCACACAGTACTGCACACATGTAACTGTCAGTAAACTGATCACGAGTTCGAGCTCTGCTTGATAATAATTAAAGAAGGGGGGAGGGCCCTGAGGAGGGGGGAGGGGGGGGAGGGGGAGGAAGTATCAATTCTGGAGGCGCTTAGAAAGTGCAGTTCTTGTTAGAAGATTTTCCGAAAGTCGAAACACAGAATACAAATGAAGACACATGAAGATATATAGAGAATTCAGGTTCCCCTTCTCTTCACCTTAGCATACCACCGATCTGTAACTGACCGACGCAACGGGCTAGGGCAGTGAGCGTGTGACTACGCCTGTCGGTAGATGATTAGTACAACTGAGAGGGCCAGGCCGATGACCCTTCTTTTTTTCTTTTTTCTTTCTTTTTTTTAAGCCCAGGTTGTTGTAGAGGTGGGAAAGTAGACAGATGGCAGTCACCCACAGTACTTGGCCACTTGGTTGTCCAGATGAACCCCTCTGAAGACCCCACCCACCCTTCCTGTCATCTTTTTGCCCTGGCGCACCCCCACCCCCCCTGTCCTACCCTATAGTGTTAACCACCCAGGACCATCACCCATGGCCCTTTATTTTCAGATGGTCTGGAATGTTTGGTGGTCCCGAGGCGGATCCGGGGAGAATCCCTCTAAGGAGCGCCGGGTGCGCAACATGGCTGAAACACGTCAGGGAATTTGTGCAGAATCGAGTTCACCCTTGTCTCTACCTCCTTCCTCCAAACCCCTTCACCACTACTCTGCACCACGAACACCAGCGGAAAAAAAAAAAAAACTCCTTCCTCTAACCACCTTCACCACTACTCTGCACCACAAATACCAGCAAAAAATAAAAATAAAAAAAAATCTACCTCCTTCCTTTAACTCCCTTCACCACTACTCTGCACCACGTGAACACCAGCAGTGTACAAAATAACCGGAGTTCTGCAACAAACTGCAGTTTCCCAGAGGGCTGTACAGCTAAGTAGATTAGTTTTGTAATATTTTGAGCTCTACTGGGCTTGATCCCTTGACCTGTCCCTTATTGGGACCCCTCTTTGTCCTGGTAGCTTAGGTCCCTTTTGTCCTTTTCTGTAGGTAGGCAGTAGCAAATCAGGAACGGGAAACCGGTAGGCCCAGCCAGGCCATGTCAGGAAAAAAAAAAAAAGGGAAATGTGTGGTGTTTCCTTTTTGTTTTACTGGGACGGAATCTAGACTGATACGTGGAGTGTTCCTTTTGTCTTCTTCTACCCTCCGAGTTGTAGGTAGGTTTGGATTTCCTTTAGGTCGGTTTTCTGTCTAGGTGCGTCTAGGCTGTAAGTGGCTGTTTGACCTGTCGTAGGTCCTAGCAGTCCAGTAGCTGGATAGTGAGTCTACAAAACGTCGGGGCGCGATTTGGAATGGGTCTTTTCCTTGCTTTTTCTTTTCACTGGTCTCGGGGAAAGTCGCGTTGGAGAGGCAGCGCTATTTCCAGCAGCACGGAGCCTGGTTCTCCTTCAGTTTGCTGGCGGCCATGGCTGGGGCCGGCCAGCTCTCCTGTTGGCAGCATCGGGCTAATGGGCTCTGGCACCGGTGGGCGGTTCCTTCACGCTCGTGTGCTTGTTGGGGCTTGGGCAGCTGCCTAAGAAGCAGCTTTTGGATATCTTCTTCGATGTTGCAGGCCGTCATCTTCATCGTGTTGGTGTTCTTCTTCATCCTCGGAGCCGGGCTCCCCTGCTGAGCAGACACATCATCTGCAGCTGGGGTTTAGAGTGCTGCAGATTGTAGTGTTGGATGCAGAAGGGTTGTGTGGTGTTTGCAGGCTTGTCAGGTTGGGAGATGTAAGTCCAAGTGGCGCTATGGCTAGAGCTTGGGGAGAGAGGGAGGAAGAAGAAGACTCTCGGATACTTTGATGAAATAAATGATTGGTCCGTGGATGTTGATAATGTGGTTGGGATTCTTGGAGACAGGTGCGATTGATTGACTCGAGGAGGGACGGTAACTAGAATTGATTTTCAGTTCAACTCTATTTTTGGTATTTGCGTGCTTCTACTGTGTATTCTCATCATCTGGTGTGGTGTGGATTGCTCTCTCCAAAGGTCACTTGTCATTGCGCATGTGTACAGGAACTCGTGGATGCCATGCTGGATCTAGTTTCAGTCAGGCACATAACAGTTCCTTGTTCACCAATCAAGCACCCTACTGCCTTGATCCCATAAGACGAGACAGAGTAACAAGGGGCTCTGCAGCGCCTCAAGTCACCCCCTCCTGTCTACAATATTCCAGCACCTGTCTTCCGTCTTTTCACCACTTCGCCGTCACGCACTGCCATCTGCCCTACTACAGTCTTCACCCGAATAGAACGCCCGGTAATTATCTTTGTATCTAGACTGAAAATTGCCCCAAATACACAGCTATAATGACTGGGCGTTCATAGTGTCTCCTCAACTTGGTCCCAACACCGCCACACACTTACTACACACTACCTGGCCAGCACCGGGGCTCTCACCATAGCCAAGCTTGGCTACAGCCCCTTGGCTTTTAACCTAGTAATGGTCGCAGGTTGAAATCGCGCTCCACCATACCATAAGGATCTTATGGAATTTGCCGATGACCATAGCCGACAGTGGTGGCCTCTCACCACAGGCAAGCACTGGAGAGAGCTGTGATGCATGCCGCATTATAGCTGCATCATCTCTTTCCCGTGCAGTGCAGCTCAAGCGCAGCCTGCCAAATGAATGACTGGCTGCGTACCTATAGGCAGGCTGGCAGACTGGTGCAGCAGGCGAAAGGCTGCTACCCTGTTATGCATTGGAGGCCCGACACCCTGAATAACGAGAGTTTAAGGCTTAGGGTTTAGGGTTTAGGGTTTAGGACTTAGGAGGCTGTAATACAGCTGCAAAATGATTTGTGGCATCCAGTGGCTTCTTGCCCGAATAGCGTTTGTGCAACTTTGCAGGCTGTTATATGCATTGGAGGCCCGACACCCTCAATTATAACCAGGGCTTAGGGTCTAGGGTTTAGGGTTTAGGGTTTAGGGTTTATGAAGCTGTAATACAGCTCCAAAATGAATTATGGCATCTGCTGGCTTCTCGGTTGGAGGGTCTTTGCAGGCCAGAGGCTGCTAGACTGGTATCAATTTGAAGCCTTACACCGTAAAAAAACAGGGTTTAGGGTTTAGAGCATACTTGCGCCGCATCCCGTGCGCGCCACTTGCGCACGTGCGGCGCACTGCGCGTTGCGCACCTGGCGCGCTCACCCTGTGCGCCGCATGGCCAAAATTCGGGGTCAGCCCAAAAAACAAAAAAGGTGGGGAGGGCGTGAATCGAAGTTCCCATGCCCAGCCAAAATTAGGACATTGCCCGCGCAATTTTTTTTCAGGGCCGCGCCGCCCCAAAACCTGTGTGTCGTCATGCTCGCTGTACACAACTCCATACTATCTTCAGTGTATCTGAGCCCTGTAAGAGGTCCAAGCGGCGCATCCCGTGCGCGCCACTTGCGCACGTGCGGCGCACTGCGCGTTGCGCACCTGGCGCGCGCACCCTGTGCGCCGCATGGCCAAAATTCGGGGTCAGCCAAAAAGAAAAAAAAGTTGGGGAGGGCGTGAATCGAAGTTCCCACGCCCAGCCAAAATTAGGACATTGCCCGCACAAATTTTTTTCAGGGCCGTGCCGCCCCAAAACCTGTGTGTCGTCATGCTCGCTGTACACAACTCCATACTATCTTCAGTGTATCTGAGCCCTTTAAGAGGTCCAATACGGTCATGATGAGGACACATCTGTGGAACCCTTGCTTTGTCTCATTCCACGTATAGAAAACGACAGAACTGACAGTTGTGTCTCCTTCGTGCTTTCGCTAAAAAAAAAAAAAAAAGAAAGAGAAAGAGAATGTCCGTGACAAGTTGAAAACCAACAACGTGGCGATGCATCTTTCCATGTTCTAGTGAAAGATTCATTCTAATTTTGCACAAATTGGAGAGTAGTCGAACCTGCCACCAGAATCCGTTGGGCCTCTGGGCCTCGCTGCACTACTCTCGAGATGCACAACAGACAAAAATCACGGCGGTGTATCTTTCCATATTCTAGCGGAAGATTCACTCTCGTTTTGCACATTTCGAGAGTAGTGCAGCGAGGCCCTCTGTCACATGAGGGCTGCAAGTCCAGCTGTAGTGGGGTGCGATGTAAGGGCCTCGCTCCACTACTCATGCAAAAAAGACAAAAAATATGGCGGTGTATCTTTCCATGTTCTAGTGGAAGATTCACTCTCATTTTGCACAGTTGGAGAGTGGTGGAGCGAGGCCCCAGGCTACCGTTGTATGGCCCTCGCTCCACCACTCTCCAAATGTGCAAAATGAGAGTGAATCTTCCGCTACAAGATGGAAAGGTACACCGCCGTATTTTAGTCTTTTGTGCAT